TTTGCAATTTGCATGCTATTCGCGAAACTGTAATTTAACAAGGTATGAATCTTAATCGGCGATGTGTGTATATTATGAATGGTAAAATAGGCAGCGCCATCTTAAATTTGCTCCAGACGAGTTATGCAGGGGTTCCCAGTTTGACATATAAGACTTTGAAAGGACTCTATAGACATATTTATGGTTTGAATTTTGTTCAATATAAGAAAAACTCACATGACGATTTTGGCGTAAATTAACTTTCACTAGGGGGGTGGGTTATGTTAGTAATTATTATTAAATGTTTTACAAACATTTCGCCAATGTTTTTAATATTTTTAATCAGGGGAATAATAGAGGTTGATTTTGGTATATAAAAATGATCACTGGGTTGTACATTTGTGAAGTTATTGCCATTTATGTTCAATATCGACGATGAAACCGAAGTATTCGTTGAGCGCATTTTCCTAGTTTTTGCCGTTCCATGTCTAAAAAGTCATCATTATGGTCATAAATTGTTACTATTTTAGTGGATCCTTCCATTCCTTGCATTTTGACACCAAAATTAAGTTTGTAACTGCTTAAATCGTCTTTTTATTTAAAAAATTGTATTTTTGGGAAAATTGTCTATTTTGCGATCGACGCGTTTCATAAAATCGCTAATAAAATAATGTTTGCGCAATATCCCAGATTGCCACCTTCATTTTTCTTGTTCTATACTATATCATAAAGATATTAAAATAGGTCTCTTGCTTTAATCATTAAATGCCCACGGGAATGCATAAGCTACCAGACTAGAAGGACGCGAGGGCATAACGTAAGCGTTTTGTATCCTACATGCTAGGGCGCTCTCCTAATTATAAACACAGGTCTACTGATAAAGGTTTATTAGGGAAATCTATGCGGAGATACCCCCTAACCATTTTAAATGCATATTCATCACAAAATATGACTCCTCTGTTGATATATTGTGCATGCGCTAACACACTAACGTAGCCAGATTGTGTACTGGCTGGTATACGCAGCCGGGACCTTACATGCAAGGTCTTCCTCCTATTTCCATGATGTCTACTGATGGAAGGTTATCATATAAATCTATGCTAGGATAACTCCTCTTCATTTTAAATGCATAATCTTTGCAAAATACATTTCTCTCGGGAGATATTACGCATGCGCGCGCACCGTGTTAGGAGTGTAGTGCCGTCTGAGGCAAACATTATAATATAGCTTGCTGAGGGAGAGAGGGGATGGGAGACTGAGGAAAGGCGGTAGGGAAGATAGCTGGGGCGGTAGAAGAAGAAGGACGCTGAGCGAGAGACAGGAGAGGCAAGGGGAAGGACGCGAGGGCATAAAGTAAGTGTTCTGGACCCTACATGCTATGGCGCTCTCCTAATTATAAACACAGGTCTACTGATAAAAGTTTATTAGGGAAATCTATGCGGAGATACCCCCTAACCATTTTAATTGCATATTCATCACAAAATATAACTCTTCTTGTGAGATATTTCGCATGCGCTAACACACTAACGTAGCCAGATTGTGTACTGGCTGGTATACGCAGTGGGGACCTTACATGCGTTGTCTTCCTCCTATTTCTTAAATGATGTCTACAGAAGGAATGTTATCATAGAAATCTATGCTAGGATAACTCTTTTTTATTTTAAATGCATAATCTTTGCAAAATACGATTTCTCCCGGTAGATATTGCGCATGCGCGCGTACCGTGTTATGCGTGCAGTGCCGTCTTATGCAAACTTCATAATATAGCTAGCTGAG